CATAAAAAGGCTGATATTTTGCTCATTATTCGAGCTCGAGTCACCTTAATTGTGAAGTAATTGTGTACATAATAAACCAACGTACTTCACAGTCGGTGCGGACGCGGAGCCTCGTCGGGTGTTCGGCGCTGCGCTTGCTCGGGGCTTGATTGGGCAGTCACGAGGGAGGGAGGAAGAAAGAAAGGAGGAAAGGAAGGAAGGGAATGAGGGAGGGAGAGAAGATTGGAGGGTGGGAGGGAGAGAGGTAGGGAAAGAAGGATGGAAGATTAGATGGATGGGGAGGGGCGGAAGGGATGGACGGTGTTAGAGGGAGAAGAGGGCGAAGAGGGGAAGGACAGTCAAGAAGGGAGGGAGGAAGGGATGGAGTTATGGATGAGGGTAGGAAGGGAAGAGACTGAGAAAGGGGATAAGAAAGACAGACTTGGACAGGCAGAAGTCCGGCAGAAGGACAGGCACATGGAGACAGTCAGCAAAACTCATAGACAGATCTGCATAAAGAGTCGGACAGAGAGAGGAACAGCCGGACGGACAGACAAAGGAAGAGTGATGTCCTCTCAAAGGCACAACATTTCACCCTCAACGTAACCAATGCGAGGTTCGGGCGGCCAGAATGGATAGGGTCGGTAAGATGCGTAGGATAGGCAGGATGGCCGTGCTAGGAGGGGGAGAGGAGTGTCCTAGGGGGAGGCGCTCGGTCCTTTGGTGCCGCCATGTTGTTGGTAAACAATACCGCACCAACACCCGCCCTCTCGCTCCCTCGCGCCCGCACACACAGCCCTCCTTCGGCGCTCGTCTTTCCTGGCTTTTTTTTGTGGTATTCTTTGTGGGGCCTCTCCTCCTCCTCCACTCTTCTTCTTCTTCTTCTTCTTCTTCTTCTTCTTCTTCTTCTTCTTCTTCTTCTTCTTCTTCTTCTTCTTCTTCTTTCTTCTCTTCTTCTTCTTCTCCTCCTCCTCCTCCTCCTCCTCCTTCTCTTCACCTTCACCTTCTCTTTTCCTTCTCCTTCTTCTTCTTGTCCTCCTCCTCCTCCTCCTCCTCCTCCTCCTCCTCCTCCTCCTCCTCCTCCTCCTCCTCCTCCTCCTCCTCTTCCTCCTTTCTTCCTTTTCTTCTTCTTCTTCTTCTTCCTCCTCCTCCTCCTCCTCCTCCCTCCTCCTCCTCCTCCTCCTCCTCCTCCTCCTCCTCCTCCTCCTCCTCCCCACCGTCTCGCCTCATTCATGTCTTTTCACCTTGTCTCCCCTCCCTTCTTCCATCCCAAGAATACGGAATTAATTTTGTTATCCATCCCACCCCCGTTATCCCTCAATTCAGTGCTTCTCATTCGTGCATTTAGTTGGACAAAGGGAAAGTGCAGAGGGAGGAAGAGAAGAGAAAAGGGGGGAAAGGAAAGATAAAAAGGGAAGTAGGAAAGGCAGAGAGAGAGGGTTGGGAAAGAGAAAGGGAGACGGAAGGGGGAAACGGAGAAGGGAAGAGGAAAAGAGAGAGGGAAAAGGGTGATAGGGAGAGAAAAGGGGGGATGGAGAAAGGAAGAGGGAAGTGGAGATGGAAGAGAAGCGGGAGAGGGAGAGGGAAGGAGGGAAGGACCAAGGGGGAGGGGCAGAGAGAGAGAGAGAGAGAGAGGCAAGGAGAAGGAAGCAGAGGGAGAGAGAGAGCAAGGAGCAAGGGGGAAGGGCAGAGGGAGAGAGAGAGAGGCAAGGGAGCAAGGGGGAAGGGCAGAGTCAAGGGAGCAAGGGCAGAGGGAGAGACAGGGAAGTTGGGATTCAGAGCCAATTATCACCACTTGGGAAGGTCCGTCGCCCTTTTAACTGGCCTTTTGCTTCGAGTGGAGGGTTGGAGGGCAGTGGAGGGAGAGAGAGAGGAACGAGGGAAAGGGAGAGAGAAAGGACGAAACAGAAGAAGAAGAAGAAGGAGAAGATTGATTTACTAATTGATTGATTAAATTGCTGACATAATTATAAAGTTATGCCTCAAGAGGAGGAGGCAAAGTGCTGACTGACCCTCGTAGTCCCGTTAAGGGTTCACTTTAATTATACAAATGAGCTAATCAGATAAACACGGAGAGAAAGAGGGAATGGGAAGGCGAAAGCGAGAAGAGGAGGAAGACAGAGGGGAAGGAAGAGGGAGAAGAGAAGAGGAGAGGAGAGGGAGAAAAAGGAAGGAGAGAAGGGAAGGAAGAAGAGTAATAACTCGGGGCAGGGGAACACGGGGAGAAAAGGCTTCCTTTGGGCCAAGATCACCAGAGGAATGTATCCTTGTGCCTCCGGTGTCCACTTTCGGTGTTGAGGGGAAGGAGGGAAGGGAGGGGAGAGGGGAAGGGGGAAGGGGGAAGGGGGAAAGGGGAAGGGAGGAGGAGAGAAGAAGGGAATGAAACACCTTCAGATGGGGAGGAAGAAGTAAAAGGGGAGGAGGAGAAGAAATAAAGGCGAAGAGAGAAAGAGAGAGAGAGAAAAAAAGATAAGTGAAGATGAAAACCGAGAGAAAGGGGGGAGGCAGATTGAAAGAGTGA